GATATAAACTATATTACTAATATATAATAATATTATCATTACCACTGCAGATAAACTCAGATGCTAAGACTGATGATTCAAATGCAGTTTTGTTCTTGCTGTACTATCGCTTGGTTCCCAGCCATATCACTTTATTTTTCATGCAATTCTTTTGAATAACAAAATGCTGAAGCATAATATTTATGACCTATGATATGGTAGCCTGATAATCATTAAAGGTAGGGTCTGGAGGATTTTCCAGTTGCTGTTTGTAAACACACATTCAAATTTGGCCCCTCCTATCAGGCTCAACTGCGCACTGCCCCTACCCCTCCTGGCAGTTGCCAGAACACGCCCACTCAGCCGTGCACTCGCCTGCAGCGTCACATCTAGATGGCAGTGACTCAGGAGCCCTGTATCTCACTGGACTGTACCTGACGTGGAAAATGAGTGATGAGGTATTTTGCAAATATTGTATCAAATGTGTTATCGTGTCCAAATGGCATTGTTTGTGTATTAGAATAAACAGCTATGCTAATAGCTGGATTATTGACTCTAATTAGCTAGGGAGTTTAGCCGTGTTTATTTACGTTAGCTTGCTAACAGGCAATATTTGTGCTCTGATAATATCGTAATTACAATGCCTTGTTATCTATGTAGTTACATATAACCATCAACAAACAGCAGCATTAGCTAATTGTCATTATGTCAGTTCATATTTGTTATTTCTATTTGCACAGATTGTAAAATTATAATGTTTCCCATGTTATTGTAATAAATAACTTATTTGAATTAATTATCAGTACATGTGATAATTAACAAATTCATGCATGACCAATCTGCTGTGCAAACACAGGAAATCAAACAATCCATGTGAAACTTTTTTATTACACAACAGTGGTCATATACAAATAATTACAATTCACACAAGTATGCTGTAGTTGTAATTAATGAAGGGCATGTAATAACAAATTGGGAGACCATCTTAAAAGGAGTAACCCTGAGAGATTGTACAGGCATCTTTGTGGTGTGGTGTGTTCTCACAGCTGGGCCCTCTCTGCAACACCTATAAAGACATACAAAAGGTCACAACTAGTGCTTTCACTATGCTTTTGTATACCTGGTAATTTGGCAAACGTTTCTAGGTTTGTCCCATGAATTGTTGTTCTGGTTATCAATGCAGTATCAAAAGTCTGATCTAAATGCATTTGGACAAACATTTTTATTTGACAGCTGATTTGGTCTATTTGATACCCATAAAGTCAAATATTCTAATCACTTGCAGACCATTCTGTCAACTTATATCATTATTATTATTATCATTGTTGTTGTTATCATTATTATTATTTGTCAGTATGCATTACAATAACAGGATAAAAAAGTTATAAACTAACTAAAATTCACAGCGAATACAATTCACAGCAGAATCAAGAATGACGGGAATCAAATGTTTGTATTACCTGGGGCATTGTTAAAATATCCACAAGACATATCCCCTGTTACTATTTGACTGTTATATATGACCTCATACTGTAACATGGATACTGTAAGTTTAAAGTCTTGTTTTTAGCTGTGTTATTGTACACAGATAAAAACACATGAAACATTACTGTGGTATATGCCTCTGCAGGTTGGGAATGTAACACTGTAAACATTACAAATTGAGCCCCTAAATCAACACAAAACTTTAATATAAACTAAGTGTGAGCCACCTAGCACACTGTATAACATGCAGGACGGGTGACCTCAAATATCAGGAGGAGGACACAGACTTTTACATCCTGACTGTGTGAAAATCTAACAGTTCTTACAGATGTTGAAGACAGACATTAAAACTGGTGAAACACAATTATGGAGACCAGTATAGGACTTTAGTGAGGCCACTCAAAACTGAAATAAAAAGATGAATAGTCACAGCTTGATATGCAATGACGTAAGTCAGTGTCAGCTACAGCCATAATTTTAAATGGACTAAATTACACAGTAAGAATTCACATTTTTGTAAGGGTGTCACTTTATTAGCCAGCTTCAGGGCTGGAATCATATACAGACAAAATCTACCCTTAATGTGAAATATCTTTGTGGCATACTCTGTTACCTTGATGTCTGTGATTCCATCTAATCAACAGCTGTTGGACTCTGCTGCAAGACAGGTCCTATAAAAATAAAATAAAAAAAGACAGTGGGAAGTCAGAAATTTAGAGCTTTTGTGTCCTAAAGTGGGTAAAACCATGAAATGTCACATCAGCATCATGCTTGCATAACAGATTTCATGTCACCCTAAAGTGTCTGTCTACTGTTTCCATCTTGTATGCACATTTTACACCTGTGAGGTGCACCCAAGACATAACATGCATGTTGTAGACAGCTGCAGAGTAAAATGAGAGCATTTCTGTTATGGGAAAAATGTCTCTGACTCATTTGTGGTTAAGACAGGGGTTATTCTAAAATCATTAATACTGTTTTACGGAAAAGTATTATTGAAATGCTTCTACTAATTTGTGATGCATGGAGTTTTTTGACATACCATGACCTCTGCTCACATGGGCCTGAACAAGGTCTTGGGTCGATGGTGGTGGAAGGACAGGGAGAAGTTTGCTTCATGACTTTTGGGAGACCTCCTTCTGATGACACCCTCTTTTCTAGTATATGCCTCTGCAGATTGGGAATGTAACTGTATGTCTTTGGAGTTTTTTCAGTGTACAAGGTCCATCGATTGGACCTCTTCTTGAACACTCTCCCCACCCTGAAAAACAGCAAAACAAATAGGCTTAGTTATTAGACTCACCTAGACTGTCCAGCTCGCTCGTTTGCCATCCTGGGAAAAAAAAAGTTATTATAAATAATGTCTTGATAATTTTTATACGAAAGACAAATTCTGGTGTCATACTGAGTAACTACAATGGTACTGACAAGTATTACTCAGAAATATAAAATTATACATTAAACTTACACAGTCTCTCCATGTGCGTTTATTTTAGCTGGACGATTCTTGTGGTAGTTGTAGTCCAGCGCAGCAAGGATGGTCCTTGCCTCATAGACAGGGGGGAAGTAAGAAAACCTCTTCGATGCATACATTAAAATATGGTTTTGAAAAGATTCCAGCTCGGATGTAGATCTGTAAATGATTAAGCAGCATGAAAAAGAGAAGTTGGTTGTCACTGCCTTCATGTTTTTCACTTTAGCCTTTTGCCAAAGAAATACATATACCCCCACACACACACACACAAGCAGCAAAAGTGTAAAAGCACGTGTCAGTCTTGATCTAAGGAACATGGCGGTGACATTGACATACTATCCAAAGGTGAATTCTGTGTCCACGTATACATATCTGTGTTTGGGAGGGCCAAAGGGGATGATTTGTACTGAAAATGTCACTTTCTACACAAACACAGAGGCTGTGGTCGTCTGTCCCAGTGCTGCATGGATATGTGTGTGTCTGTGTATGTGAAAAAAAATGAAAAAGTATTCACCTGAAGTTCAGGAACTTATGGACATTTTTTAGCCACCGTTTGTCTTTCACAATGCTGGTTAGGGTGTCATGAGCCCTGGTCCCCCTCTCAATCCAGGTCTTTGTCCGTTCTGCTGCAAGGCAGTCATGCTGGCATCTGCCCATGACCCCCTCATGCTCATTGGCAACATGATGGAGGATCCCCATATAAAGGTCATGAAAAATATAAATCTATTCTGTTACATGCTGCTAATCTACCACACCCCCTACATGTAATGACTGTTTCTATTGTTTGTTTATTGTTTATTTAGGATCCCCATTAGTTGTTACCACAGGAACAACTATTCTTTCTGGGGTCCACACAAAAGACAACCATTCAACATCACATTACAAAAAATTCACAATATCACAATATAAAAAAATTAATGAATTAAAGAAGATAAAATAAGCAGTCCTCTCACATTCATGTCAACTAAACAATACATTGTAAAAACGGATCATTATTAGTAGGCTAGGTGTGTACAGTATAACAGCCCAAAAGTACAATGCACAGTGAACTTCAATATAATGTCTGTGTGTGTCTATTGTGTTCTTACCATGAACTGAAGATGGGTTGTTGCTTTTTTGCAGCACCACCAAAAGTGGTTTACAATGTCCTTGACCCATAGAAGGAGAATGTTCATGTCCTGTCCTGCCTACAACAGACAAACGATGATGATTTTCATTAAAAAGTATTTACATGAAAAGACTACATTTGACATTCAACACATAATGCATGTGTGTATGCGTCATGGCTTACTGTCACAATGTGGCATCATTCCACATGTCCAGACTGTGAAATATGCCAGCGTCCTTATATTTTTCCTTGCCTGTTTCAGATGAAAGAACAGCATTACTTGAGAGTCTTTTATCCATGAAATACATTGTCTTGGCATATTGCACTTACTCATAAGTGCAGAGATTTGTACATGTGCATCTGTACAAATCTCTTTCAGGTTGACCTCACTCATGAGAATATCCATGGTCCTAATAAAGGCCTCTTTCTCCATTAGGACAGACTTTCTCTGAGTTTTTCGTTTATCAACTGTGATCACCGAGATGATGTCCTTGCTTTCATTGTCCATGGCTGTGTAGGTGCAATACTGTGCACAGTGACCAGGGCTGTCCATTCTTCCATCAGCTGACAAACCAAACAAAATACATTCTTAGACATAATTTTAATGAGCCCTGTGGTAATAACATACAGCTATAAGACAATGTGACACATAACTGTTAGCTACCAATAAATTAGAAATTCTCACCAAGGGCCACAACACCGTCTTGTGTAGCAAGCCGCTGGATTACTGCTGCCCTCTCCTCCATCCAAACAATCTTTAATGGCATCCACGCAGTAGGCATTCTGGTCTGGAAGAATGTGTTTCTACTAACGATGCCCATGTTCATATATTTGAACAGTAGGTGCACCTTTGCAAAATTATTTCCAGAGAGCAGAATATTGTCTGCGAACATGAAATCTCCTGCCTGCGTACTGTATTTCAGTTTAGGTTGGGAATTCCATGTCCAGACAGTTTGTCCTTCTGAACAGACCTGTAACATTATATATAAGAAGTACACTTAGATAAAGAGTAAATAAATGAAATAATAGAACAAAATGAAATCAGTACAATGTAAATGCCACAATGCAAGCTTTGCAAATAAGTGTATATTTTACTCTTTAGAGTTATTGCAGGCTAGATAAAAACAAAAAAACGACCCAGTCGATAATGGCTGCTGAACCTCTTGAGGAGATGTTGACCTCAAAGGGTGGTTGGCTGACACAGTCTTTGATAGGACACTTATCAATTGGCAGCACAACGAATGAACAGAGTGTCTTCAAACTGCTCTGGTATGCAATGTAGGCTGGCTGACCTATGATGTCATCATACTGGGCCTCTTTTGCATCTGTGACTGGGACTTGTTCAGCTGCGTCTTCAGGGTCATCAGTGCCATAGACTGTGTCATCCAGCCCGACAGCTGGTAATGCATCCAGGTTTGCCTGAGCTGCCTGGAGAGCACCACCTGTCCTGTTTTGACAGAAGTGAAATGCCTCTCTATGAACATTACATCACAGTGATATTTAGAGAGTAAGATAAGTCATAATGTAGAAACAAACCTCAAAGCAATAGGAGGCACATAGTCATCATCAGAGGAGACCTCGCCACCATCTTCTTCCTCCAGATCTTGTCCCTCATCAGCAGTTAGCGTGACTTCGTCCGACCAGCAAATCCTATATACATAACACAGTTTGCTTTAGATACATGATGAATATGAGAGAAAGTAACATTTAGTAACACTGTAACATTTCAGTTATGGTTTTATGCTTATTTTAGTCTACTATACAAATGCCACCCAAAGTACTGCATGCAGAATACAGTGGACCCACAACATAAAATGTATATAATAAATCAGACTTACACAGTATGCATGAGGCTGTTATAATGGTCCTCCTCTACATTGGACTCCTGGATGGTCATGAATGTCAGACTAAAGGGATGAAACAGTTTGTGGTTAGTAGTAGTAATGCATGCGAGCAAAATTAAAATTAGACCAGCCTTTTTTCCAAGCACTCCATTGGTTCCCCTTCCTCTGCACTTGAAGGTGGAAGAGGCTCTATGTCGCTCGTTTGTCTGTTTAAAAAAACATACATGTAAATGACAGGAGCATTATCGGACAGTCGTCATGCTCATTTTTATCATCATAATTTTTGAACATTTATCCTTCACTCAATGAAATTTTAGATTGTTCTTTCTCTGGGGCAATCTTTCAGTAAAATAATACATACAGTATCTGTGTTGCTACTGTACGTATGTCATATTTCACAGAGGTATGTTTTTATTTATTCATTTTTTCAATCTTACTTATCCTCTAATTACATCTGTGGTAACAAATTTCCCTTGTGGAGAAAAATAGTTTCATCCATTCATTATGTCTTTCCGTAAGTTTACTTTTATTAGGTAAGAGCTGACAGGCAATGACATAATAGAAAATAGCTCATAAGCAATGAATACTGCAGTTACATAGATATATATTACCTTACTTACATATCAGACAGTCCAGGTTTAATGGGGGATAAAGGCACAGGGAAAACAGAGAGATGCTTTTGGGGTGTTGAAGTTGGGGGGCCCTTCTCATGGCTATGGGAAAGACGGGAGGAAAACACGTAGGCTGTATCAGTTCTTCAGCGACATAAATAAAATGCACTACAAACAGTTATTTTCGTACTTAGCATTCAGGAACAGGCCTGCAAGTTAGCAAAACAAGGTTTGCGGCCAGACATTGTGCTGCTTCAAAGTATGCATGCAAGTTGCGTAACTATTGTAGTGACCCTGCAGTGAATGTTCTGTCGTACTCTGTGGTGTGTTTGGGATTGAATGAGTATGGGTAGGGGGTTGGGGGGCGAGTGTGACTGGGATGAGGGTTGTGTGAGTGTGTGTGCTTGTGTGTTTGGGTGCGAGCTGGAGGGGAGAGCAGGAGTACATGGTTTGTGAGCTAACGTTACGGCTAAGTTCTTGTTTTGTTGTTTTTTTGGCCTGGTTACGGCCAGCAGTAACCTCTACTGTGAAGCAATAAACGGTGGTTTGTCGAATAACTGCGTCATCATTCTACACGTCCTGGCGTACGCTACACTATATTTGCAGTTACAGACGTGAATGCACAAATTAACAAAACTTCTGCTGGCTATGTCTCCTACAGTCACCAAAATCGGTTTGGGAATACTACCATAACCCGGTGTGACTTGTGTGTTACACAAAATGATTCAAAGCTCAAGCCTCACACTACATCAAGCCATATATTAGCTAAACGTAAAGTTATTTGCAATGGTTGATAGTCGGAATTAGCCTCCACAACAAACTACGTAGGAATTACAGTTGTTGTAATGGAAAAGTTGATAAATTAGCAAACTAGCACAAGCTAACCGGCCTGTATTTGGGATTTACCTGTCCAACAGAAAGCAGGCCAACTCCTCGTCGCTGTACATCCCGAGCCTCTCCTTCAATGCTCGAAAGTGGGTGAAGGCCACCCTGATATTCACACGAGTTTTGGCCCGTGCTTTATAGGCTCAGCGTTTTCCCTCACTCACAATGAAATTCCTTTTCTTCATGGGTACGTCTGTATCCGCCATTTCTCCTGGGTATACGGAGCACGGAGGTACGGAAGAAGGCTTCACAGAAGAGGTTCAGGCAAGGCTCGCGCTGGTCTCTCATTGGCTGGGGAAATCTCCGCCCAGAAGCGGTCC